GGAGTCCTCACTGACACCACTAGTATATAAGTGGAGACCTGAAGCTAAAGGCAAAAGCTCTGCTGATTTTGGGGGAAAGCATTATAAGACAGAGGAGATAACCAGTGCAAAGGCCCTGAGGTTGGACTGTGTTTGACATGTGACCATAGTTTGGTGAATGAAGGGGAGAGTTAGGAGGCGAGTCTGAGAGGCAGACTCAGCAGCAAGGAGTTGAATGGATGTGGGGATGTAGAGCATGCATGCAGGGCTTTGGAACCAGAGTAAGGTATTTGGATTTTATTCTGAGTGATCTGGGGAGCACTGAAGAGTTTTGAGTGGTGAAGTGGCATATTTTAAGAGATGTTTTAAGAGAACATTGGTGGTAGTAAGTGGAGACTAGACTGGGAGGTGGTCAGTAGTGGAATCTGGAAGATCAGTCAGGAGCCTCTTGCAATATGCCAGATGGGAGACACTAGTGGTGTGGTGGAAGTGACAAGTGATTCTGGATAGATTTTCCAACATAGAACCAATGGATTTTGCTGATGGAGATGATGTGAAGTGTGAGAGAAAGAGGAGTTAAAGATGACTCTGGTTTTTGGCCATTTGAGGAGATGGGGGAAATGTGGGCAGAACAGGTTGGCTGGTAAAATCTCAGTGATTTGTAAGAGCTTTTTATGTGATGAAGTTTATTAATATTTAGTCATTTAGGTGGAAAAAGTTTTTTTTTTCTCAATTTGTTGTTAGTTAACTTTGTTAGTGCTGTTTTGTTGTACAGAAATGTCAACTGTTAGTCTTTACAGGTTTTGGTTTTGCTGTCATGTTTAGAAAGATTCTAAAAATAATCACCTAGTCTCGATCCTCTATGGTTTTGTATTTGCATTCACTCTTTAATCTGGATGGAGTTAATTTTGGTATAAGCTTAATTAAAATCTTAATTTTTTTTGGCATTTTATTTTTTTAAAAAAAAATTTTTTTTTTCAACGTTTATTTATTTTTGGGACAGAGAGAGACAGAGCATGAACGGGGGAGGAGCAGAGAGAGAGGGAGACACAGAATCAGAAACAGGCTCCAGGCTCTGAGCCATCAGCGCAGAGCCTGACGCGGGGCTCGAACTCACGGACCGCGAGATCGTGACCTGGCTGAAGTCGGACGCTTAACCGACTGCGCCACCCAGGCGCCCCGGCATTTTAAATTTAGGTTTG